AAAAAAAAAATTAATAAAATAATCCCCCCCCCAAAAACTATTAATAAAAAAAAAAATAAAAAAACACCCAACTTGCCCCCCCCCCCCCCCCCCCCCCCCCTAACCTCCCTACTCCTAACCACCACCACCATCTATCCCTCATACCCCCTCCACCTCCACAGCTCCGGCGCAAACACAACCTCAAACGCCACCTTATCAAACGCCCCCACGGCCGCGCACAAATCATGATACCCCTCGAGCCCCGTAACCGGCAAATCCGTCTCCCGGTCCGTCTCCTCGTGCAAGTTCCACCGACCCCTTTCCACACCGTCCCGCGTCAGGAATACTTCCACGCTAATCCCCCCGTCACCTCGCTGGCAGAAATCCATCCCGAGACCCACCGTCTCCCCCCGTCGGAACGGCGTCGTAAACTCCTTCCCGCCCCACCGGTCGTTTATGTACCGGTGCCCGTCGTCCCCGTGCACGCCTAGGCTCCCGCGGTGCCACCCTGGTAATCGGAAGCCAGGGTACGGCGGGGCCACGAAGCCCAGCGCGAGGGAGACCTCGTCTTTGCCGCTGCGGGTGCCGCGCTCGAGGACCCGGACTTCGTAGTACGCTGTCTTCTTCTTGCGGCTGCCGGTGGTGGTGACTAGGGGGCTGTGCGCCGCGGCGTGGTATAAGGGCGGGTACGTCGCCAGACAGGTGTCGCGGCCGTGGCGGGGGGAAGATACGCTCCATACACCCGGACGGACGGGGGTGAGGGTCCCGCCCGATGAGGTGAATGTGGGAGGGGCGTAGAGGGCGATGGTGCCGGTTAGGGCGGCGGATTCGGCGGGGGGGCTGAGGGGCATGGGGCTGTAGAGGGGGTACGAAGCGCACCAGGACTCGCCGGCTTCGCATTCGTCCTCGGTGGCGTTGTTGGCGGGCGAGCGGTCGTAGCCGCTGAAAAAGTTGGGTGGGGGAGGGAGAAGGGAAGTGTCTGGGACGGCGGTTTGCCAGTCATGCTGCTGCTGCTGCTGCTGGTTGGAGTTGGAGTTGGAGTTGAAGAAGGGGTTGTTCTTTGTGTCGGAAGGGGGCGGGCCCGGGGGAGGCGCGTACTCCTGATGAGAGGGAGGTGGGCCGGCCGGGGGAGCGTAGTAGTGGCCGTGAGATGGCGGGGGTCCGGGAGGGGGCGCGTAGTCCTGCGGCATGCTGGCTTTGGGATAGGCGGCGGTGGTATATGATGGTGATGATTGAGGGACCGGCCTGGGAGCTGGATCGGTGGTTTTGTCTTTACTTCCGAAACACATTGGGTCCACTGTACTGTGTTCTTGAGAGAAGGGGGAAAAAAAAAGATGATGGTTGATGGATGTAGATGGTAGATGGTATAAGCGAAGGTATGTATAAGCGTGTAAGTGGGCGAATGGGATTACACGTGATAATTCCGGGAAGCGTGTAATATGTATAATAAATGTATGTAGATAATTGGGGAAAGAATTAAGAATTGAGAGAAGCGCATTGGTTCAAATATTAAATAGTCAAATATTTGACGGTCAGGACTTTCTCTTCTATTTGCTTGGCACCTGATGTTCTTACCTTACCTACGTTTTAACATTGACTCTGTGCACAAGACAAAGTCACTATCATGTTAATTCAGGTGCTTATTAGGTATTACCGGTACCTGACCTAGGAATAGGTACCTAGGTAGGTCATACGTCATACCACAATTACATGTACTACCTAGGTTTTATCTAGCATAGCCCCCGTCTAGAACAGCCTCTTAGTAAAACAAGTCGTGGCTGAGTTTAAGTTGGCATGAAAGTTCAATCCGGTATTTCTAATGATTCTATACTGTACAATCAACTTCACCATGTTTGTTTGTCATCGATTCACCGCAAATTCATTCCGTCCAATAATTATATAGTTGCTCACCATAAACTCATTTCGATTTTATATGTCACATGGAACAATATTTCAGATGCGGGCTTTAAGCATTCATTCACATTTAAGAGCCAATCGCATTATAGCATGGTAATATTTCTACTTAGATACATATACCCGGGGAAATACCCGGGGAATAAATCACTTTTTCATACGTAAAGTGATAGACAGTGACCTAACCTAGAGACTTAGTATTTAAAGACAAGATGCTCTTATTTTGATTTCTCTTCGTTTCTGACCTACCAAGTATTATACTATCAAGTATACTATTCCAAATCTTTAATTCCATAGCTACCTTTTACCGTCAAACTATTATATTAATTATTATAACACTCTTTATCGCTTTTCAATAGTTAAAGTGTATTATTTTAGATCACCCAAACTCGACGCTACCAATTCAACACGAAATGCCCGATATCGCTGCTGCTATAGCACCAGGCCTGGGAGCATTGCAGTTCGTGGTGGACAAGATCGTGAATCGCCTCTGTAACAATCGAGATGCCCACAGGGCCTGTTCAGCACTTCTCGATCTTATCGAGAAGCATAAGGACCAGCTAGATGGAGAAGCAAATGACACATCTGATCTTCGATGGAAGAGAGACGGGCGACTCAGCGCTAGAAAACGCGTTACAGAAGCCGACAGAAAGCTACGAGAATGGAGGAGGCTGATGGGCGACGAGCCTAGGACCTGGGAACAGAAGCTCTTGCAGCCTCATAGCAAGTATGAGGAGGTTGCGCAGGGGGCTAGCACGATGTTGCAAGAGATGCAAAGCTGCTCTAGCCGTTGGAACCAAGAGAGAGCGAAGGACATGCACCGCATTCTTTTAGAATTCATAAGCTCCCAGAACGCGACCCAACCACAACCAGAAGAAGCCCCCCAAAACGATACAAGAGGCGGGACTAATAGGCGGAGACGTAGGAGACGTCGGCGTGACGAGAATAACGCACGCGAGGATAACACGCGCCACGACCTTAGAGACGGGAGCAATGGACGAGAGAACCTAGATGTTGTTGACCAGCATGAATACCACCACGGTGTTACCGCTACCCGCGAGCATATATCCGACACTCGTCACAGTAGACTCCGAGGCAAAAATAATAACAGAGAAGAGCCCAACATTCCCAACGCTGAACACAATAGGGAGCAGGCAGTCCCGCCGCAGCGCCGCCGCCGTACTCGCCAACGCAATGATGGTCCCGTCGCTATCACTATCGACGACGGAAACGGACAAAAAAAAAATAAAGAGGAGACGAAGGGAACACCACAGGACGGACAAGAACCGGGCAGACGGAATAGAAGGAGCCGCCGAGCGACCGTATCAGGCTCCGTCTGTACCGGAACGGCGTGACGTAGACGCGGCCCCGCACGGAACGGGTACTAGAGTATCAAGAAAGGCGCAGGGGGTTAAGTTATAAGAGGGAATAGTTAGAGAGGAAAGGGTAGATAGAGAGACTGGCTGGCCAGTCCCTCCACTCCTTAATATTAATAAAATATTGTCGCTCATTAAAGTACCGTACCTACCCTACAACGCCGGACTTAGTGTTAGTGTGGGAGATATTCCCCTAGGCAATCCGCTCAACTCCTCATAATCCTTCGTAAACTAGAACGGAACATCACATCGTTGCACGAGAATCAATTTATCTGCAAAAAATGAGAGTATGTCCAATTCATCCGCTAAGCAGCTCTACAACCACAAGTCTACAAGTCTGTAACTATCGCTAAACTAACTAGGTACTTAAGCTATCTGCTGCGTATTTCCACACCATCATCGCTATCTGCATCAGAGCGGCCAAGTTAGCTGGCTGGCTCAACTTTGTCTGAAAAGATAAAAAAAGAATATCTCATAAAAAATCAAGGCAATTTAGGTAATCAAATCGCAAGGGGCCAAACTCCGAAAAGTAGATAGCATCTCCCCTTTAAAGAAGTAAAACATTTCATCTCATCTCCGTACTTTCTCCCCCTTGACTGTGTAGCGTCCAAATCGTCAAATAAGTGTTCCGTAAACCCGCTTCTTGCAAGTTTAATATCAAAGCAATAATAAATTAAATATCGTATCCCATGCTCGAGTTAAACATTGCGTCGTATTGTCAAATAAGAGGTCTAAATATGCACTTCAGAGGCTAGAAGCCCCTTTAAGCGCCTAGGGTACCGGCAGCGTCGCCCTCGGGGTAGAAGAACGCCACGACCGCGATGATTACGTACGTAGCGCAAAGCAGCGCGCCCTCGAGATAGTTACTTCGGCCGTCCAAGATCAAGAAGTTGATGATGAAGGCCGATACGAACAGGCAAACGGTCTCGAATAGGGTGAAGTAAAGCGTCATGGGTTGACCGATGATCCAGCCGATGATGACCACCAGGGGCGTCAAGAATAGGGAAATCTGAATCGAGGAGCCAATAGCTACACCGATAGCCAGATCCATCTTGTTCTTCATAGCCACCGTGACGGCCGTCACGTGTTCCGCTGCGTTACCGACAATAGGCAGGATGATCAAACCGATGAAAGTCTCCTTGAGAGCGCTGTTCGCGACCACATCATCGATAGCATCTACCATGAATTCGGCACATACAGCCACAAGAGCTGTCGAGAGCAGTAACATGATAATAGCCGCGCCACGTGAAAGGTCATCTCCGTGCTGCTTGCCTTCTTCGTCGGTACCGCCAGTTAGGATAGAAATGGGAACCTGAGAAGGCATCATGGCTCCGGGTGGTCGATATTGATACTGGTTAAGTCTTTCGGGAAGGGAGTTAGTCCTGCGAATGCCGTATCTCACGCGTGGCACCGGTCCGACCGATGCCGCAGGTACTGCTCCAATGTCCGAAGTGAAAACAGGCGGTGCCAGGCTCTTAGCCACGGGTCGGAATGAAAGAACACGCAAGTTATTGAAGGGGCGTCTAGGTCCCGTAGGAGTAACTTCGAGTTCACCTTCGACATTGGCGACTGCGTCAGCAAAGTCTACGCGGCGGGGCTCTCCGTTACTCGCAACATGATCCTGCACGGCATCCGGTCCGACACCAACGATGTTCTGAGGTTGAATAATTCCTTCGACGCCAGTCGACGCCTTCCTATCTCGCTTGCGATGCTTGCGTTTGGAGCGCTTAGATTTACGGCGGGACTTGTCCTCATCTTCCTCCTCGATAGCCTCGTCGGTACCGGTAGAGTTCATCCGAGGGAAAGAAAGAGGACCATGCAAAGAATCTCCAGACTTGGAACCCCCTTCAGGAATAGGACTAGCACTATTAGTTCCGAGGGACGAGGTGCGAGTTCGAACTCCATCTTCAGTTTCTACCGATGCCGTACTAGACTTCCTACGGCGGTGTCCACGGATGGCTCGTTTAACACGTTTGGACATGGTCTCCCTCGAATGGCTGGACTGATCCGAATCCGAGTCCGACGAAGAACTGGAGTCAGAATCAGAGGACTCGAGCCATGCGGCAGCCGGACCTGGTGTTGCTTCCTCATCGATAATGTGTTGAGGAGTCGATTCATACATGTACGCATGAGACTTCAGCTGGAACAGAAGGTACACGACGTATACCACAAGAAGAATCTCGAGACAACGTTAGTAGGGTTTAGGGAGATATGCGGAGTAGATCAAGTACATACCACGCTAACACCATGACTGATTTTCAGAGACTCGTTATCAGCCTCTGTCTTGTCTCGGAAGGAAGCGTGAAATGCGGTCTGGTAAGAATATTTAGCGAGATTTCAAGTATGATTGGGGATAGACTAACCGGTAACATAAGACTGATCACACTCAAACTTAGCAAGCAGGCACTCATCTGAGTCACTGTGCTGTTATAGATCTGGAAAGACGTTAGTGGACGCAAAGTAAACAAGTTCGTATCCGACTGACCTGTTCACGGTATCGGAGACCACCAAGGAAGAAGGCCATGCCCAGAATCAAGAGCAAGTTTGCGAGGATCGATCCAAGCAAGGAGGCCTGAACGATGCGAATCTCACCCTGCATAGAATTAGCGACATGAATTACGAGTGGCTAGATTTAATATTTACCTTAACTAGAGCAATACTACAAATCGGAGTATGAGGTTAGCAGAGGTCATAACATGACATTCTTATACCGATTCATGATACAAGACTACTTAACAATGAATTGTAGAGCATGGTTAACTTACATGCTATTGATTTGTTAGCTAAGAGCGCAATCAAAATGACTAGGTAAGACTGACAAGATAATGAGTTCGACGGCATTACCAAACGTAACGTTAAGCAACGCGCCGACGGTGTCACCCATCTTGCGGGCGACGGACTCGGTAGCATGGCTAAGGAGTCCCGCAAGAGGAATGATGGCGACAGCGTTAACACCGAAAGTAGCTCCGGCATTTCTGTTCGGAATGTTTGCGATAGCAATCCCGACGGGTACGAAGACCAAGAATAGGTTGATCCAGCTGTGGAGGACCACCTTCTTTAATTCGTGATAGGTTTCGACGACGACATTTTGTTTCTTCTTGGTGCCGCTTTCGTCTACGACAGTCCCCGTCCCCTCCACTTGAGATGTTGACGGAGCCGACCTATCGGCATGCTGGGTATCCGTTCCGAGGTTGGGGGTATCCTGAGATTTCGCGGAGCCATTAAGAAGGCCCTGATGGCCGTCGGAACCGGGACCGCTAACATGGCAGATCTTCTCGGGATCTTGGTGTGTATGTGTATTATTTATGGGAAGGATGGAGTTGGAGTTGGACGCGGTGGAACGTGTAGAGCCTCCATACGCGTGACCTCGTGCCCAAGAGCGTATGCGATCTATATTAGAGGCCTTGTCAGTTGAGCTTTCCTTCATCGATGTATGCGGCTTTGGCAGATTCGACGCCAAGGTCGTAAATTGTTCTAGAAAGAGAACGGGAAGAGGGGGAACGTGTCTAGGACGTAATCCGACAGCGAGAGAGACCTAGACTAAATAGGCGTAGAAGCAAGTGGGAAAATTGGGGAAGGACGGTGGCGTGGGGAGAGCTTTAATTGGAAGAAATCAGGGCGTAATCTAGAAGTCCAGGGGTAAAGCCGAGCGGTGCTGCTTGCGGATTGGTTCCCTGGTTAAGAAGACTTTTAGTCTTTCCAAGCCAGTCATTAGAGTTCAGCGGTGTCGTCTACACAGTATATAGTAAACTGTAAAGGTGATAACGTGTAGAATAACGTCTAACTAGTGTAGACTTAAACTGTGTGGGTTTCCGCCTTGCTTTTTAGGGATTTAGGGATGGCGATACGACCGTAGATCCTACCTGAGGCTAGCTAACACGTTTGTCTGTGCCGCAAGCCTTATTGAAATCCCCTGATAAAGACACATATTCTCTCTCCGCAACTTCTTTGTCGTCGATAGCTGAGGGGTAGATTCTTTTACAACCTTTGAGCTTTACGTACAGCTTTACAAAGCTCCCGTAAGCTCAAGGTAGTGTATAGGAGTAAATCCCGATCTCTTTCGCCCCTCTATGACACCATACCAACAGATACCAACAGATTCGAAGCCGGCAGATCATCTCCACTTGGAAGCTTGCCGGAATTAATGTAGCGTCGCGTCGGGTTGGATGGACACCCGCATCAGCATGCAAGAAGGGTACATAGTGTGATGACGGAGAACGGGTGCCGAGCTTTTTTGACCTCGCTTGAAGCGACTACATACGATATACGTGTCCAGAATAAAAGCAGGTAAAGGGGTAAGGTGAAAAAACATAAACGTAACGAAGAAATACTTGAGGAAATAGAGAAAACTTACGCATGCTGTCTACCACGATCAATCAACCCTAAATAGGGAGTATCGCCTAGTAAGACGAGTACTCTCTCCGGTTGGTGTGTTGTGTGTACCCGACTCCTCGACAAACCGGTGTGTAAGTATGTATTCCTTGGCACTTGATTCTCTTCTTCTCGTCAGCTGTCGTGTAACGAGCTCCTCTTCGATATGGTCAACAAGGATTGGATGGGGCGGGCGGAACGGCACCACCGCCTCACTTCTTAAGATACAACGTATAAGCGACTAACGATTCGCACTGTTCGTCGCGTCACCCGAACGAAAGCGACAAAGCGTGCGTAGTGCGTAGGGCTGATGAGCTAGCTCCGACGGTGCCTCGGGATATAGACTAGGTAGGTTGCCTAGATTGTAAAAGGAGGCTGAGGTTAGCTTCTGTACGCGTAAATACGTGGTTTTTACTAGTTTGCGAGGGATTCGGCGTTGGTCGTATTTGATAGATGTATAGGTAAATGTATATGATTGCAAATAGTTGTTATTGTTGTTGTTTGTGTAAGATCTCGATCAGGTATGTACTTAAGGCGAAAGTATTCGGGATGGCGGTGGAGATAATTAAATACAAAATAGTTACGAAGCAAGACTTAGCTAATTGATGTAGTCATAACATTCCCTTGCTGCAGTGTTTATTAAGTTTATAGCATAATCGGTAAAATTGACAAAATTGACAAAATCGGAAGTGGGTGGGATCAGGTTACAAGTCATAAATATCGATTATTTCAATTGTATCAGCTGTTACTAAGAAGTACGATTATAGATACATCATACCTATGAGGTAAGTGCATTAGAGATAGATAGCTGCAAAGGTCGCAGTCATGCTTTAGGTGAAATCCAGGTGTGAAAAAGCAAGAAATTGATGACGTAGTTGCCTGGATAACTACACTAAGGCTGTGTAACCATATGTAACCACGTACATCATCCAACCTTTAGGTAGATCACATACAGCAAGTGCAATCAGTAAACACTTAAACTTTATTGTTTAGTTACGGTGAGTAATAATACTTTCAAGCCACTCTTGTACTGCAACTAAACTGCAGGAACCAACTAAACAACTCGGTACCTACCTAATATGGACACAGCCCATGTATGACTCGCTTGAAACCTGGTCACAATGTTGGATGAGCCACAACTTAATCTAGAACCTTAATACTAAAGATCCGTAATCAGATTAAGGTCATCGTTAGATCTCGGATCTCCGCTACCTTGCCATCTAAGCGGAGCTATCGGCTCGGATCTAGCCAGCGTTGGGGGCTCGAGCTCGGTACCGGCGCAACAAGGATATATCAATGACGGTAGTGATTTGGCAATCCCGAACGATACCTATCTAAACTCCATGTTGACGAGTTTAACGTCCGAATAGTGCTACGATATGGTTCCAAAGCGAAACTTCTCTCGGAATATGGCCTAAACACGGTACCACGTTATATAAGCCGTGCGGATGTGACTCGGAATTTTGATACATACCGCTTATGTATAACCTTCCTCCCTCCTAGAAACTCACACAAGCACATAATGAGGGCACGTTCCGTCAAGGTAGTGGGTGGCATTTGATGACTTCATCTCTATTGCTAGTAATAGTTAAGTCATAAGATTCTACAGAGTATCATAAGCGCTCTTCAACCATGTGGCTGACAGTCTCTTATATTCGACATAAGATACCAAATCAAGTTTAAGGCTCGTTCTCTAAGCACCAATATATTCTTATACCCAGTTGATAAGTAACATTTCGGTACTCGTCGTCAACAATCGGATGTTATAGACTTACTTCAGAATTGCCTTCAAACGTGACATTCGAAGAAATCTCAAAGAGAAATGATACCAATTCACCCAGTTGACTACCTCACATGTTTCACACCACTATTTCCTATTATTCAGGTAGTTAGTTAAACTTAAATATCTCAAGGCGTCTCAGATATACATAGGATGAGACATGTTAAACTTCAATTGTACCTTAACTAGCCCAAAAGGCAAGCGAAAATGTATTCTACTCATTAGTTTAACCAGGCTTAAACGCTTCAAGTACACATAAGAGTAAGCGCCCGTGATAATATTCAACTTACTGGTCAACAATAGAGAGCTTATATGATAAGAACTACCTCGGCGTGTGTGAGAAGTTGAAGGCTATATAGGCATATCTGTAAGCTCTTCGTCGGCTTTCTAAGTCGAGTACAGTTGTATAGGGCAGGCAGTTGAATTAACTATCCCATACTATATACCTACATAATTATTATTTAACTGTAACCCGTGATTGAAGAGGACCAAGATGAGATAGCAATTTCTTTCATATGAATTCGCTCTTTTTTTGTTCACTTCTTGCGTCTATCTACCTAAACTTAGGTACTCATACTTACTGCCACGTTTCCTCTTATCTCGAGCCATTTCCGGTTTCTTGACATCTAGGGACCGATAAGACGTCGATTTTTCGTTATCAACTTGAGAAGTTCATATAGTATCAGATCTATACGAATACTCATTGGGTACCTAGGTAGGTCTAACTAAGCGGTCCAAACGAAGGCCTGCTAATTAAGCTTAGGAAGGTGGTTGTATGACAGGTATATATTAATGGCGGGCAATTTTGCGTTGTCTCAACTCTAAAATATTTACTTTCACTGCATTATGGTGAATTCTAGCAGTGTCAAACAATATGAGATACACAGGGCCTCTACTACCGGATTAATTAGAACGTGTAACCCCCAGGTGGAATAAGTGAATCAATGGCATAGGCATGCGTAGGCATAGCCAGCCCGCAACTCTTGACTAATCTTTGCGAAGACACGAAGATCGGAGCCATTAAACTACAACCTTACCACTATTCTATCTTATTTATCCATGACTGGTTGCATTGCTAGTAAAAAGTCAAATCAAAGCAGGTGCAGGTACAAGTCTACTAGTGATGCCGTCTTTGATAAACCCTCTCTGTATAGGTAGTTACTGGTACCGTTTCAACCTACGCCACTCAACAAAGCAAATTAAACCACTATTAGGCATTAGACAACAGTATCACCATTGCGTTGAATTAGATTTAAGTCTATATTGTCCAATTCTTTGGATTATTCCATGCTTCTTCCACTCTCCTACGGGCGTCCCCTACCATGCCGGAATCTCGGCAGCCAAGTCCTATGAACTCCTAGAAATGAACTGTGGCGGACTAGAAAAGACAGGTACTAAAAGGGAAGAATGCTTATGTACAAATCCGCTCGTCGGTTCGACGATTCGGTAGTCCCGGGTATTCGTTTCCTGAACAAAATTCCAAATAAGATCAATATGTGGTTGTAAAACACGTGCCTACGCCAGAAAATCCATTATTGACCTTCTAATACGTATTCTAATACACCTCCGCTTAGTCCAAACTCATCCATGCGAAGGCCGAGAGTGATCCTGCGATGACGATGGCTGTCAGAATGCCCGCACCCGCCCTGTCGCCGCCGGTGATCGGAGCGAGCGTAGGCATTATGGGGTCGCTGGAACCGGCGTTCGCTTTACCCTTGGAAGTACCACCGGTCTGGTTGGTAAGGGGTGCCGGGACGTCGGGAGCTAGGAGACTGACCAAGGCACCCAGGACGTTCATCTGCTGACTGGCACCGACGTCGCCGTCAAAAACTCCGGTAGTCCAATGGAAGCCGCAGAACCGACCGTTAGTACCACCGGTACACTGCTTCACGGCGCCTTGCGTGGATGCCTTGAGAATCGGCAGGATCTTATCCTTGGTGAAGGGTGCCACCTGCATAGTCGTGCCCATCCATCGGTGCGTGAATCCCTTGAAGGACTCCATATCGGAGTTACACTGCTGATTTTCGCAAGACGGTTCGAATGCGATATTAGCGGGGGCGGGGAAGAAAATTTCGATCATGCGGTCTACAAGGTTATCGATGCGGTCTTTCCAGACTTGCTCGCCATCGGTCTGAGTGATTATGTTAGTATTTGAAAGATCTCTTCTCGGCTTGGTACTAGGATAGCCGGAGTCGCTCTCAGGAATTTCACGAGAACCTTGTACACGAAACGAAGTGAAGAAACTTACGTAGTTATACAAGAAAGCAGCACCCTGTAGCAACATGGCGGCGTTGTAGGAGAACTGGGCTTTGTTGAGGTCGCTGCAATCGGGCAGATGGGCGCCGTCGTAGACATCCCACTTGTCCGAGATGTAGCCCAGATTATCGATCAGATCCCAGGTTTTGATTGCAAGGTCGGCATAGGTCTGGTTGTGGAAATAACGGGCCAATCGGGCACCGATGTTGAAGTAGCAAGCGTTAGCGATGGCTATTATTACGTTAGTGTCTGATATATTATGCATAAGCATCTGTACTGGTCCGACGTACTGTTGATATAGTCGTATCCATTGTTGGTCGAGTAAACCTGCCATCTGAGACCCCATTTGCATCGTCCGTCGGGAACTCTTCGGTCTTCGCTTGTCTGCTCGTTGAATACAGCCTGCGCCAACGCTACCCACTGCGGCTGGTCCTCTGGAGGATCCGTGTATCCTATCTCGGTGGCCAGCATGGCCGACAAGGCCCAGAAAGCTTGATCATCGTTACCCATGGACGCGGACCAGTTGCTCGGCAGGTAATCAGCGTTGTCGCCTACCTGATGCAGCATGGCCGTCGTTATCAGATCGTCGAACTGCTTGTCGCCGGTGTTGTGTCGATAATCCAGCAGCGTACCCCACATTGCACCACCCTGCCACCAGTAGTAGTCGCCGTCGGGGGGAGGACCGGGTAAGATACCGGGAACCATACCCGGTTCGTCGCCATGATAGAAAGTGAGAAGGTCTTCGGCGACTTGAGCGGCAGCCGTCTTGATAGATTCTAGATGGAGAAGATGCCCTGTTAATCGCATTTACTTATGCACGGGACAAGTCCCAACAGTATTTACACACCTGGATCGTCGAGGTTTACTTCCAGGGCGCCGAACGCTCTGTCGGCAAACAGGCCTAGCGCAGCCAGCACCGGCGTAGATAATCTCACCATGGTATGCGAAATGTATCTACTCGGGAAGAGAGTAGGGGAAGCGAAGGAACTTCAATACCGAATTACTAGGAAGGGAGACAGAAATGATGGAAAATAGACAACGAATGGATATGGCCTGGTTTAGAGATGATATGATGTAAATCACGACTTGTTTCGGAGACGAGAGGGTTTGGACTTGAATGATAGTGGAACTCGACGTCAACGACGTGAAAGGGCTGCAAAAAAGGAAAAGACAAATTAACCAACTAAACAACTAAGCAACCGGACTGCATTGGCAGAGAGGGCAAAGGGCAAAGAATGGGAAGGGCCAAGATTCGAATTGGATTTCAGGAGGTAACGAAAAGGAAAAGACAGGCTGATTAACCAATCAAAACAAGACTTGGCCAAGACCCCAAGCCTAGACCCGTCGTGGGGATCCTTGGTCTTAGTTCTTTGGGAAAGAAAAATAAATATGGGGAATATGGGAATATTGGGAATATTGAATTATGGGAACAAAGGGGTTGGAACCAACCAAATCTCTCCAATCATCCAAGTCAAACTGTGATAGCTACACTAAAGGCATAGCCGCATTGCCTAGAACAGATGTACCTAATGTATGCCGTTGGCGTGCGTATTCGCCTTCCGTTTTTCGTATTTAAGGCTTAAACTGACCAAAAGATACCTAAAAATAAGAAATCATAAAAAGCAAAGAGCATCTCACCTGAAACTGTCATGTTGCTTAGCGGCCATTAATTAAATCCATTAGGTAGGTAGGTTAGGTACATACCTAACTTCAATATCGAACCTAACCCCCATAACTGCATATGTACCCACCCACAGGTACGAATATACATACATTCGCAAACAACCGAACAGTCAGTCGACCTAGCAATCATCCCAAAAAAACACATGCTAGGTTGCGCGACGCACCCCTGAAGATCTTGGCGCCTGAGCCGCCAAGCTAACGCTAATCCCCACGCGGCCTAGGAAGATCTAGGCGCGCGCCAGAAAAAAAATAACATTAGAAAACCAATGAGGACCGACGAACGGAACCCGCGTATAAATATACATAGGTTACCTGTAAAGAGTCAAAGTCATCAAGACGCCGAGACGCTTGTGGATGAATGTAATCCGTAAATGAATGCTTGGAATGGTGTGGTGACGTACATACTTCATATATAAAGTGCCGACTCTTCCTGTTCGTTGTGTATTATTTATATTTATTTATGTTTGTTTTTATATGCATGAGATCTAGTAGATCTCATTCGTCGATATACATAAAGATCTACTTGATGTTTATTTACAGGCTTGGATTGCTACGATATATGCGCTCATATTGGTAAGATACGTGTAACTACGTTGATGGTGGATTATATCCGTACAAGACTTTAAAAAACCAACAAACATACATATTAGCTAGGCCATAACACGAAGGTAAAAAACAATCTCGTATTAGTAAATCGTAGATAATGCTAGAAACGTAAGTGTTAGTCACATATTAGACAAGAGGCCATGGCACCTTATCTGTCTAGGTTACTCATTCATTCACTCACTCAAGATTCGGCACTTCGAAACTACGCGTAATGGCTTTGCAACTCATCATTGCTATTTGCTATTTGCATTTTCGGAGGAACGCTATTCGTCCCATCCGCAGATGCTACCATATCTATTCTACTACCAATGCGATTGCAGGTTCCAATTCACCGGTATATCTATCCCCTTCCCTAAAACTTTTCGGAATACTACCTACGGCAGAGCACAGATAAGACCTGTCCAGAACTACCTAAACAACCCCTTACTTGTCTTACCCACAGAGCTGTGGCGTGCTACCCACGTGCTGCCAAGATGCGATGGTAGATGGTAAAGGGGGCTGAGTGTGGATGTATAAGTCTCTACCTATTTTGCTTGCTTGAATGCCGGGTATCCGAAAACGCAGAAGAGGATGTGAAAGGAATGGTTAAATCCAATCGTCCGAGTAGACCTCGGATCGTTAGCGGCACTCTTGTGCCTGTAGTGAAGAAAACTCCCAAGGGTACCTAAGTTTTACCCTTCCGTTTCCTTTATTCCCCATATCAACGAAGCAGGGCGTGTCTAAAGTAAAAAAAAATGCAACCGACTTGTTTAAACTCCAAGTCCAAAACGCCCGGTTCAACGATGCCAAAGTGAAAGTCGTGAATGCAATGGATATCATGTTATGCTCGTATGCCTTTGTTGCCAATGACGTAACGATTGATATGCGTGGTTCGATCCTGCCACTCACGCTGCTTCCGTCATGCGCAATATCGTTCCTCTTGACGATGCTGAGCTGGGTGTGTATATATCGTGGGTATGTATGTATATGTACGTCCGTAGGCTGGCTAAGACTTGAAAATAAGATATAAGATGTGGCGTTGGGGTTTTGGGTTTTGCTGGGAGGCGCATAAGTCAACGGTTCTTGCTGACCCTGAGCAGCTTTGTTCTAAGCCATAATATGAACATAGTCCACGTGCTCAGGGTCTTCCTCTTAGCTGTATTTCTGCGCTTGGTAGGCTGAAAGGGGACGCTCTCCGCCCCTCCGGCCTCATTGCCAAACGCCGGCGGGTTTCGCGCATCCATACTGTCGTAGTTGCTACTAGCAAACTTCTCAGACTCCTCCAAGGGGCTAGGGATATTCTTGCGCGACGTGCTTGGTCGCGACATGCTAGTCCTAGATATGGCTATGCTCGGACGGTTGCTGCTGGTCCCGCTGAATTTCCTATTGTGCTTCCCGCGAGCTATTGCTTCCTCGAGCTCCGCTGCCTCTAGGCGAGCCTTCGCAGCCATCTGCTCCTTATGCATAGCTGCCGCGTACCTTTCCTTCTCGAGAGCGCGCTTATTATCGGCTCGCTCGCGACGTTTGATCTCCTCTCGGGCGTATTTCTCCTCTTTGGCCTTCTCCCTCAGCTCGAATTTCCGACGGGCTGCTCGGAGGTGCTCAGCGCGAGTAGCCGTGTCCAGGTCGGACTTTGCGCGCAGGCGCGGAAAGCCGCTAGCATCGAATGAAGAGCGTAGCGGAGACATCGGGGTTGATGAACTGGCGGGCGATGCGACGTGGTTTGAAGGAGTATTGGACGAAGATATGGGCGAGTCCGTTATGCGATCGAGTTGTAAATCAGATCGACTGGGGACATTGGGGAGGCGCGAAGTATTTATTCGGAGGGGGGGTGGGTTTTGAGAAGGATAAGGGGCTGAGGTATGTGCATTTTTGACTTCAGAAAAAGATGAAGTGCGCTGTGTACTAGCTAAAGCCGGGCGGCGTATACCCAAAGTAGGTTGAGAATGTGAATGTGAGTTCATCTGAATATGAAGGCTATTCCTATGACTGTGACTTTGGCTTGCGTCTAAGCTGTCGCTGTTGCTGTTGCTCGTGCTCGTGCTGTTGCTATTGCTGCAGCTACCAATGCTATCATCGTTATCATCGTTATCATCCTCAGTGATGTCGAAGAAGGAGGTTTGCGAATTGGCATACGATAAAGGCGGGGTTGACGTCCGTGGTGTCTGTTGAAAAGGATGCACGAACGGCGCACCGACTTGGTGACGAGGGCCAGAGCTGCTGCTAGTCGCGACAGAAACATGGCTTGCACCACTAATCGACCTAGCATGGTTATATCGGTTCGCACCAGCTTCGTCCAAGGTAAAGTTTATCTCCTTAGTCGATTTCTCTAGTCCTGCTACCCCCTTTCCTCCTCCTACTCCTCCTCCTACCCCTCCTGTCCAGCCATCGCGAGCCTGATATTGTTCATCCTGATCTGTCCACCCTCTATCCAAATCTAACGAGTTTTTCTCCGATTGCGACGAAAGCTTCTTAAGAATTGGCTTGACCACCGTCCTAGCTCTCGATTTGCTTATCTTGTTGCTCGAACTATGCGATCCGAACACGGGTAGGCTATGAATTGATGCCATGGTGTAAAATGGCACGGACGCGACAGTGCGACAGTGACGTACTCCAAGTATAAATAGATATGCAAATATATGTCTCGCTATGTCTCGCTATCACATACACGTACATATACCCGTTACTATCGCGGGGTCGTCGACGTACGTAAATAATGCTGCCAGGAAGACAAACGGGATTGTTAGACGCGAAATAATTCTTTTGTCGCGCGCCAGAACAGAGAGAGCAAAAGGGGGCTCGCAAGGGGGCCCGCAAGACGGCCAAAGAGTCGGGATCACCGGAATAAAGACATTGAAGTAGTACCGACACTAAAGGGTCAGGTGCGCGACGATTAGGAGGTCTGAATAATAAACGATAATAAACGATAATAAATCACTCAGAGGCTTAAAAGATGTGATGATGATGACTAAGACCAACAACGATAATTGAGGTCAAAGTGACATCAACGAGAAGAAGACAGACTTCATACGGGCTTCATATGCTCTGAGAAATAGCCATGAGTTCTGTCTCCTTTACCATGTGATAAATACTGGATCGGGATAGATAGACTGGAGTTCTTTGGTGGGCCTTTGATTTGGAGGGATGGAGGGATTGTTCGGTCAATACAGCATAACGATGCGGATGGGACGCGCAGCAATAACCCAAGCAAGCATCCAAAGCTCGGGTCACCTTGGGAGAGGGGACCAAGGCGGTGAACGACCAACAGAATTAAAGGCGGTCTCTCACAATAATGCCTTTATTTTTCTCAGCTGGTAATAGCGTAATATATGGCGCATTGTTTTTCTTTCCCTTTCTACATATGTAATAACAATAACAAACAAGCAGACAAACAACGATGATGATAACAATAATAATGACGAGCGAAAAGGTTAATGATGAACCAGGAAAAAAAAACAAGAAAATAAAAAATTACAAAGGCGCGGTAATATGATGAGTAGATTACGCAGCCGATGCAAAACTTGAAAGAGGCGGGCAGTACTTAGCAAAAAGGTTACCTAGCCAACTTAGCGTCGACAAGGCGGTGGACAATACCCAAGATAATGGAACAATAGTTTTGTAAGTACGACGAGGAGTCAGCAAAGTCCATCGGGTAAGTCGGGAGAATGGGGTAAGTAGGAGAAGGGGAAAAAAGGGGGGTACAGGCGATAGTTCAGCCTCACGATTCCATTCTACCTAAATTTTTTTTTCAGCGGGTTAAAATCGAATAGAACGACTCGAGGGGGCCACTTCCTGACCTGCGCGTGGTGGGGAATAGGTTACATAGTAAGTTATCGTGATTGAAAAGGGAAAAGGGGGGGAAACCTAGCACCATTCTAGCAATTTTTCACCTTCTAAAAGAGGGGAGAGAAGGGGAGAAGATTCGCCGGGGGCTGGGTCGGGGTATGCGGCGTAGCAAGGCCGGAACAGGGATCTAAGCTGTGGTGTGCCTGTGGTACGGATCCGTATGCCTGTGTGGCATGCCTTATCGATTGCGGATTGCGGAAATTGGGCCATTGATGATACCGCATTCGAATAAGTTTTTTCCACTGATCAACAGCGAAGCCCTGGGCAGAGATCTAGAAGCTACCTAGGTTAGGTATGAATTCAGTTTGGTATGAACTGATCATCATCACGTTCCACTCAGCTAGGTGTACTTGCAGCAGTAGTCAGCCAAGATGGAAAAGAAGGGAAGCGAAAACACCACCTAACCTGGGGCTTTACCTACCTGGACTTTACTTACATACATGGCTCAAACATGGCTGGGTTCTCCTTATCGTCGCCAACTCCGAAAGAGAGGGGAAAATATGAGCTAACGTATGTTTCATGCATCTAACAACTGATGGCTGTCGGATGGGAGAATTTAGCGTGGACAACGCAGATTAACAATGCAGGGGGAACTGGGGGATCTGTGTTACGGCGGGTAGATATCTGTTGATGTTATTGTGGAAGATCAAAATATGGAAGATCAGAAAAATGGAAGATCAAAGAAATGGAAGGGTAACCAGATGTTTAACATATGATGTTTTACTTGTAAGTGTTATGATACGGGGGCAAGGAGGTAAATTCAATAGTAGTTGTATTTTCATATTAGCTTTAACTTGTATACATAGTACATAGAGGGCTTGATTCTATGTACATAGTAAGAGACTTCCAACCTACGATATTGCGTGACTCTATTTCGTAGCCAACCAATCTGTTCGTAGTGTAATCCTGCTTGAGAGGGGAACAAAAGAGGTGAGTATAAGCTCAAGTATAGCTTCAAGGAACTTATACCCGGTCACCTACATACACATGACAAGTATGTATGTACATAGTAGGCTCGCTAGCCGAATTCAAAATCGGAAAAGTCAAATGTGCCAATTACACGAACCTGACGGGGTCGGGTCGTCATTTAGAGTTGTCACTTACCAGATTTGCCGCGTAATTTGCTGTCGCACAAAAAATGTCGTGGACGCAAGTCAGTCGATCGACGGCGTTTAGCCCAGAGGAACAGGCGGAGCCGAGCCATGGGGATACTGAATGGCCGTTCACTTAGATGGCTGCACGTATATAATGCGTCCGCTTGCGTGCTTTTCGATGAGATGCCTAGGTTAGGTATGTATCCTATGTATAGAAACAAGGCCGAGGCGGTGTATCGGTGGTAAGGTGGTGGGCTCCCGGCCCAAACCGCCCGGAAACGGCGGACCCAATCCCGTGGGAGCATTAGCGTCTATAAGAGCGATGCAATAAGTCGGTGACTGAAAGACTAGGTAAGGTTAACCTAAACCCTTCGTTGACTCGGAGTTATGCCGGTCGACAAGTCGGGTTCCGAGTTTGTTTGTTTGTTTGTTTGTTTGAGGTCGTGGCGCTTTAGGTGCATAAGAAAATGAGAGCTATAAATGTCTCAATAGCCCGCTGAATGCCATTGTGGATTGTAAAGAGCAAGTTCTGTCCTTGGACATTTCGAATACGTCTTGGGAGTAGAGAACTTGTATTAACTAGGTAGACGATGTTGGGATTATCTTTGTCCAATGTTAGCTATTTTTTAGTCTAGTTTTTTTTTCTTTTTCTTTTTTTAATATGAGAATAAGATAGCAATTACGAGTGCTCGTACAACTCTGGCTGGCTGCGAACTAATCCATGCGGCAAAGAAGTGTACGAGTCTTTTAAGATGAGGAAATCTTGGACAGCAATTTCCCCGTTTTTGAAATTCCGAAAAGGGACAGATATAGAAGGGCGGTATTTAACAAAACTTATAATAAGTAGAATAGATTAGGTTATAAGAACTTCAAAGGGGAAATCCTGTCGACCAACCGGTGGTGCCGTGTTGGCTGGAATGAGAAACTCCGCGTTAGGTCTGCCCGTTGGGTCTGCCACCTCAGAGAAAGACGGGATTTGTGGAGATATGGTGGTCTGAGAGTTGCGGTACGACGGCATCCGACGGCCCGATGACTTGTCGTTACTCCTATTTCGCCCACTTGGGGGTGGTGGAGGCCGACACGTCGGTCTCGCATAGCCTTTCCCTCCAACAAGTCCGTGTCGGAACACGCTTGTAAGCTTTACCGCCGACGCCGGTCTAAACCCTCCCATCGGTAACGCTCGGTCGCTCGAGCCGTTGGGAAGCAGACGTCAGTTCCCCCGCTCTCGGAGTCCGGCCCGGCGGCGGTATGGACTTCCTGCATAAGGTAATCGTTCCGAACCACTCCATGCTCGTTCGTCCCTTGAATGCCACGAGCGATGAGAGATCGGGCTTGACACGACACGTCGTCTTGTCAATACGCTCGTACAGAACCACAACTCGACAGATCAGGTTTAGTCGGGGATGGAACCAAGAGCAGAAAGCACTGTCACAGATGCCAATTGTCGTTAAATGCAATAACAGGTCCACACAGACACATGGCATATTGTCCAGGATCGAACGGTATCTTTCGAGGTAAGTTACTTGGTAACGTTCCGGGTCCGTCACTTCGGAGGGCCGACTTATTAATGTCATGCACGGTTTGATATTACGTATGGTGTCGAGTGCCCAGAGGCCTCAAGGCCGAAGTACGTGTCTTGTAGTTTATTGTTTTTTTTTTCGGGCCGTCACTAGTGATGCTTCCAATAAGACGCTTCTGTGGGCATTTCTTGGAAAGTATCCAGAGCAACTAAATCTATCACGCGTCGTTGGCTTGGCTACGAAGTATCAACATTGGCTTGAAAATAGTCCTCTGGGTGGGGTATCCCGAGGACGAATAGAGTAGTACCTGTCAGGGCCCCCGAGTTTCCGGTTACGAATGATTGGCATAGCTTAGCAGAAAGAAAGATCTCGGTCCGTTAAAGGTACTACGGTAGATCTGGACGGCGAAACTCGCATATCCGTTCTAAGTCGAGCATATTCGTCTCGTGCGCTTTACCGTATGTGCTACTTGTCACCATTGGACGAATAGAATCGGGTTCCTTACCGGAAGAACGCTCGGTTTACCTCCGCGGCACTGTAGAGGCCTCCTGATCTCTAGTTCGAGGATCGCCTCCGCTACCAAGATCGAACCCCCCTCTCCCCAGTCGATTGCCACTGCGTTCGACGCTCGCGACATGGCGCGTAACAAAGATCGGCCGTCTCGTAGCTGCGCCAGAACAGTCTAGTGCTTGGCAGACCGGCGTGAAAAGTGAGGGGAAAGGGGCGACAAGAAACAAGAGGCTCATCATACAACAGTGACTGGGGCCTCTCGGCAAGTGAGAATCTAGAACTGCACTGCCGAATATCCTGGTACGTTCGAATCCGGAAAAGAAGGACACGATGCTCCTCCATTGTCAAATTATCGTGGACAACCGCTCGGTCCCGCACAAGTCTGGCCCAACCGAGTAATGGGAGCATCGATCGCTTGGAGACGTGTGACTCGCCAGAGCCGTGGTCTAAGAGTAGTGGCCAGCTGGGTCTTGTCTATTACCATGGTAACGGTTGTGCCTGTGGCCTCAGCTGAGACCTCTTGTGCATAAGAGCAGAAGTAGGCAGAGCTCTCTATTCGTCGCCTCAGGGCAATGCAGGTGGGAAACCAACGAACCACGACGCCAAGCACTCGATTTGTTGCAGGACTCGCCACAGTAGTTAGCCACTAGGTCTAGCCACTTCACTCGCCATCGCGCAGGCGACGAGAACTCAGGGTCCTATATGCAGGTCCTTTTTTTGACGTCCTATCGATGGCCTGCTGTTTCATAATGATAGACGTGCACCTGCATATATCTCTGTAGCCGGAATGGTTGCCGTAAGCGGACGCAGACGCGATGTGGGAGTATATGTTGTGCACCCTGTCAAGAATAGCCAATGTGTGCTGACCGCCATATGCTCTTTAAGCT